ACGATTGAAAATTTACAATTAGGGTTGGAAAATTGAAGACATTTGGGTTTTATGTCATGAAGAGGAGGGTCAAGATTTAGAACATGGAGAAGAGGGTTGTAAAATTGAGGGATTTTGGATTTTGTATATTGAAGATTTTGAAGGGAATCAAAAGAAGCCGATGAAGCTTTAATGGAAGATGATGGTGAAGGTTGTGAGAGAATGAGTGAATAATATAGCTACAAAATCAAACTATCAAAGATGATTGTGGTTTGAAATAGTGGAGCACTAAATAAACATACATGAATACCTCATAAATAAACACATATGTTCTCATCGATCTAAAATAGTTATGGATTTGTATGAAGATTAAAGATGAAGATATAAACACAATTCAAAATTAAGAACTACAAAAAATTACAGAGACTAAAGCAAAAAAACATTACAACGTACAGGATAAAAAGACTATTTAATTTAGAATTCTAGATTTGTGTACATATCTTCATCCCCAACCTTCATACAAACCCATAATTTTTTCAAACATTTTTTTTATATTTTCATCGGTTTACATAACATAATATGAAGGTGAAAGTGAAAAAAATGGAGGTTAGAGATGGTGTTTGAAGGTGAGTAAAAATGAAAGTGGAAATGGATTGAAGAAGATGTTTTGTAAAATTACATTTTTTCTTCTTAATTTCATCTTTTCATATCACTGGTGTCACGTCATTGGATGTTATCCACATCATCTTTTTTTAATGAAGAATTGTTGTCATGGACTAAAACCAAACGAAACTCTACATATAAGGATCTCATAAAAAAATATTTAAGGATTAAAATAAAATCGCTCTAACAACTGCTAACCACGAGAGAAGTCAGAATCTTATTCTCTCTTTAGCACGCATAGCCGAATCAAAATTTAAAAAGTTGTCTATGATAAATTATGCAGTGTCATACCCGTGAACTTTCAATATGTCAAGGATCTCAAACCAGACAGCTACATAAACAACACAAGAAACAAAAAGGTGGTGTGGGATTCTTATGGCCTAAGACAAAGCGGGAAAATGAGGTTATGAGGACCAGATATAACTCCACGCTTCGCCAATTCATCTCCCGTTTGGAGTCTATACAAAAACAACCTCCACACAAAAACCTGAATACAACTTAGAACATTTGTCTTCCAAAGAAACTTCAAAGCTAACTTCAAGTCGTCGCTTAGATGAAAGACATGATTTACTAGGGAAAACAGCCTGCAATATGCCAATTTAACAGAAAAACCAAACAAACGAATCCAACATGTCGAATAAGAATTAGCACAGGATAAGAAGTCAGAAGCCTATTTCAAGAAGATTAACACATTAGCATCATGACCTGTTTTGAAATAGATTTGATACTGAACTTGAATCGACCTCTTCTGTCACAAATAAATTTACGACCACCACGACTAGCACAATTTTCATTGAATTGAGATCCATTCCACTATTGAGGTGCATAATTAGGATCTGAAATAGGTTGAGACAAAACATTAGTTATTGAAATAGTGCATTGAGTAATGTTAATTGAAAAAGGTTCGACTAACATGATTTACTTCATCTTGTTAAATTTAGTCTCATGTGAGAGTAATATTGACTCAACTTCAATTATTGGACCCATAACAAATTAATAGATGCAAGAGAACTATAATCATCTGATAATCCTTCTAAGATATCTTCTAAATGATCATAATTTGATACTGAATCAACAATAAAACAATGACATCAACAATTTTTTGAATACGGGCAAGGAAGCACGGTGTTGGACAACGTGATGAGAAGCCGTGTGAAGAGGAATGAATCCATTGCTCCCATGTGATATATCCAAGATTATCGACTTCACTCTTGTGATCGTCTTTATTGAGATATTGCAAAGGAATTGTTGGATTTAACATATATCAATGGAGTTTATGCATGTGTATGATACCTTTGCTTTGTTGCTTCCAGGAATGGAAATTATCTTCATCTAGTTTGAGCGTGATTTTTTGTGCAAACGTCTTTAAAGATGTTCTTTGAGTTGAGACTAGGTGCATTTCAAGTTCAATCGTCTAAATGCCATATTACAAAGAGAGAAATTAAAGTAGAGAGATAGTTTGCATTTATATTATTTGACATTTTCAAATGAGAAAAGTTAGTTACACAATTCATGAATGTGCATTTATATGATGTAACTATGTGTTGACTCAGCACCCAATTAATTACGCTTTGTTATAGTTTGTAATAAGTCTGGTAGAGGTTGTTTGGCTAGACTACACTAGCAGAATCTCTTCTAAATTTTATTTTTGTCTTGATGCTTCATCCAGAGGTACTGTTTAATGTGTCATGGTCCTTTTTACATATTGTTGATAACATATTAACAGGCAAGCTCCTTATATTCGTTTGTCCTCAGAAGACTCTTTCAAAGAATTTAAACCATCTTCAGCTCCAATGGATTCATCCACAGGCATATTTGCAAACCCTTTGGAAGAAATTAGTAAATTTAGCAGCTCGAAATACACAAACCTATAATTAAAATTTTATTTATCATGGTAAATTTTTAAAAACTTTATAAACATTTGAAACTATGTCTGAATCTTTATCTTAACCACCTGTGGGTAATATTTAAGCGGTCAACACAGAAAAATATGATAAGACTGAATGGAGAGGGACCAACCAAATTTCATTACAGAAAAAACACATGAAAATGAATGTTAGTGCAATTTTATACCATTATTACTAACAGAAATTTAATATGATATGTCTTCTCAATGCGAAATTCAATGTGAAAGTTCCACAAAAAATAATGAAAATCTAGCTCTCTGGCACCTTCAATTTGATATTAAACTTTATTTGGTCTCTAAAAGTCTTTCTCTAAAACTGGAATAAAACCAGAAGGCAAAAAGTGTTTATATGCACACAAGGATTTTCCTCATTCAGGCCTGTCTAAATGACCATATCGTCTTTGCCAGTATTGTGAAGCTTCATATCGTGTTCTGAAATTCCAGATGTGTGGCTTTGATTTCTCTTGAGCTTCGAGGATTTCCTGCATGCAGACATACAACTTGTTAATCCAAGAAAATGTGTAAAGTTGTTTGAGGAAAAACACAATTCAAGAGTGTTGTTTTCATTCAACTACGTGTGATGCAAATATAGTGTATTTCAGAAACAGATTAAGAAACGGTAAACGTAACTGCCACTGATATCAACTAATAACTAGCATAACAGTAATTAAACAAAATAATATATATTAATCCAGAATACTTCTCCTCAAGTTGGGAAATGATTGTCTAAAATTCTCGGCTTAGACAGTACAAGGCTAAGAGAAGTAACTGAGTAGCTGGAAGAAAGAAGCTCGACGAGTGATTCTGCCCGCTAATGTTGGGACTGCATCTGAGGAGACGAATGAAAGACAATATTTGGATCGCTCGTGAAATGTTGAACTAGAGACCAAATGAATAATGGGTTGATTATCACAGAACATGATAGCAGAATAAATGGTAATCTCAAAACAAGCTAGCAAGTGCTTGAACCAAATTAATTCACCACAACAGTAGCCCAATAGCCTGACCCTGATATTCAGTCTCAGCAGAAGGTCTGAAACTATGGGTTTTTTATGTGATTTGAACATCTAATTTTTGACATTGTAGTCCAACACAGTATAAAACGTTTATAATTATTGATTTGATTTGGAGAGAATAAAAAAACGAATTAAAAAACTGTAGAATCCCAGACTAAGATTGGAAGGAACCAACTTCACATTGTTTTATTGATAGTATTTGATCTATGATTAGTGAATCGGGGTCATTATGGTCCGTGAGGAAACAATTGTCTATTGAATGATATTCACAAGGTTGTCAAGATCAAGCAAGATATAAGATTGGGAGAAAATAGTAAGATTATAAAATATAAAATCGTAGCTAAGGTCGGAAGATACTGCCTAATTATTTTTACAAGATCTCGAGGGGAAAACAAGATCGTAAAAGATAAGATCACAATAAAAATGGTAAGATCCTACTAAAATGAAAAAATAATAGTATATATTTAAATTATTTTTACATGATATATGTTAGTAGGCAAGTGTATTGGTGAGAAAATGACTTTTCCATATTCTTTAGACATGTATGATTGAGTTTTTATACTTTATTAGTACCACATGAAACATTTGTTAGACATTAGGATATATTTGGTCAATTACTAGGATTATCATAAGTCTATTAGTTAAAACAAACCTACAAGTGCGATGCTTATTCTCTAAACCCTAAATCTAAAGCTTCATTTCAAAAGGAAGGCATTTGTCTCCGCCGAACCGTAACTGCTGCACCTCAGGAACTTGTCATCCTTCTCACATTTTAATGGTGGTTCCCGGAAAACGGTCAATCATGGCCGAAACTGGTAAAGAACGAACAAAATTAATGATTTTACTATGTTTTCACAATTTGGCTATAACACAAGATTCTACTTAAGATCGGAATCGTTGGGGTGATTAAGATCGTAAAATCTGAAGATTTAAAGATCTAGATTGAGATCTTGACAATCAAGGATATTCACTTGATTTCTTTCTAATGACCATTAAGTGAGGTGAAATGTGTTGAATATTTACATTGATTTTGGGTTTGTTAGTTTTTGGGCCTTAGTAATTTTAAGCCCAAATTTGTGTTAGTAGGTCCAACTTCTAGAAGCCTGTTCTAGAGAGGTCCAAGGAACTCTCTAGAAGATAAGGATAAGTTAGAATTTTTGTAGAAGAGTAGAGAAGATTCTAGAGAGTGATTTATAGCCATTAGATTAAGTTTGTGGAGTCAAAATCTTAATCGTTGATTTAGGAAGGTCACTAGTATAAATAGAGGTGATGTACTTGAGTTTGTATAAAATCAAAATTATAAACATTCAATAATTCAAGTAACCTTCCTCTTCCCAAAAGTTTCTCATCCTCTCCCAAATACTTACACACTTTCTCCATCTATCCAAAATTTCCTTCGAACCAAGTGGCATCAGAGCTTGAAGATTCGCTCAAAGATGGCGAATAGTGGCGTTCCTTTCCAAGTCCCGATGTTCACAAAGAGCAACTACGACAATTGGAGTATAAGAATGGTGGCTCTCCTTGGCACACACAACGTGTGGGAGATAGTTGAGAAAGGCCTTGTCCAGTGTTGTCAAATTGCGGCCATGGCAGATTGTGGTTGCGGAAATTCAAAATAGCACCATGGAATAGTTATGGCATTGCAGACTTTGCATTGCGGCGCCATGGCGGCCGCCACGAATTTAATGTTCACGGCGGCATGGCGGAAATTGCGGGTTATTTTTTAAAAAATCTAAAAATTTGTGTCTGTGTATTAATTTACTCAACCCCAATTATAATTCTGATTAAATACCATGACCCTCATTAAAAACAAATACTCTAATTAAATATTTATAAAACTAAAACACGCCGCAACCTTTCTATTATCCACGTTTCTTCTTCTCCCTATGTGTATTCTTCATCAGGTTTTTTTCTCTTTTATCTCTCTATCTGTTTACTCTTGTTTTTTTTGTGTTCTACTTGTGTATCCCTTCTTCTTTAATGTTCTTCTTTTTCTTTGTTTCGGATACATGTTATGCTTTATTTTGTACTTCTAGTTTTTTCTCCAGCTCTGCTTTTAGTGTTGTATTTTCCTCTCTTTATTAGTGATCTGTTATTACTTTAAGTTTTCTTCTGTTTAGTGTAAACAATTTCTTTTTTCTCGTTTATGTTACATTGTTATTACTATTTTTATTTCTTAGTTTTGTTTTTAAGGATTCAAGACATGCCCTATCTATTTTATTTACCTTATAAGGTCTATTTTGAAGAACTTGAGTTATGAATTCTAGTTTCCTTTTTCTTATATATAATTCAGTTTTTTAATTTTTATGAATTCAGTTTTTTGGTACTGTTATTTTTTTATTTTTTTTGTATATATATATATATATATATATATATATATATATATATATATATATATATATATATATATATATATATATATATATATATATATATATATATTAATTTTTATGAATTCAGTTTTTTGGTTTTTTTGGTACTGTTATTTTTTTTTGTGTGTGTATATATATATATATATATATAATGTTTTTTTGTCCGCCATGTTTACGCAATTTTCCGCTCCGCCATCCGCCATAATTTTGGTTCGCCACTATTCTCCGCAATCTGCCATAGACAATACTGGCCTTGTCGACCCGTAGAATGAAGGCACTTCATCTCAAACTCAAAAGGATAGTTTGAGACACTCAAGGAAAAGAGACAAGAAGGCTCTTTATCTAATCTATCAAGGAATAGATGAAGACACGTTCAAGAAGGTTCAAGAAGGTCTCGGGAGCAAAGACGGCCAAAGAAGCATGAAAGAAGCTTTGAACCACTTAAAAGGAAATGCTACTAGTATTATTGAGTGTTTATAATTTTGGTTAATACAAACTCTAGTACATCACCTATATTTATATTAGTGGCATTCCTAAATCAACTACTAGGATTTTGGCTCCACAAACTTAATCTAATGGCTATAAATCACTCTTTAAAATTTATTCTACTATTCTACAAAAATCCTAATTTATCCTTATCTTTTAAGGAGCACCATGGATCTCTCTAGAATAGGCTTCTAGAAGTTGGATCTACTACAATATAAATCTAGGCTTAAAATTCCTAAGGCCCAAAAACAAATCCAAGTTTAATGGGTTTTTTGGTCTATGGGCCAAATAAATTTTTTAAGTCCAAATTTATGTTGTAATAGGTCCAACTTCTAAAAGTTTATTCTAGAGAGATCCATGGAGCTCTCTAGAAGATAAGGATAAGTTATAATTTTTGTAAAATAATAGAGAAAATTCTAGAGAATGATTTATAGTCATTAAATTAAATTTGTAGTGTCAAAATCTTAGTCGTTGATTTAGGAATGCCACTAGTATAAATAGAGGTGATGTACTTAAATTTGTATACCGCCAAAATTTTAACCCCTCAATAATACAAGTAATTTTCCCTTTCCCAAAAGTTTCCTATCCTCTCCCAAAACTTTCTCCACCTACTCAACTTCCTTCCAACAAAATGCTGACTTGTGGGAAGGTTGATTGAGACTCTTCAAAAAAAAATCAGTTGAAAGATCCAAGGTTCATTTTGTTGTTTAAATGCCCAAATAAAACATCATATTCTTGCTGTAGTGTTCAGTAGATGACACTTGAAGTGGTGTGTTTGGCAATGGAATTTAATATCCGAGGGAAGAAACAGGTCATTATTCATCTACCAAGAAAATACAACTGAAGATCAAATTACTTTGGCTGCTGTGGAATTGAGCCATCAACAAAGCCATATTTTTGCTTTTGGCCAACAAAGTCATTTCCCTGGCCTGAATCCATGAGCTATAATTTGCACTATTCAATGGCTGAGAAACCAAGTAGGCTTGGCTTATCATAAAAGAATGAATGTAGTAGAACTAAAAGCTTCACCAGTTGATTGCAAAGCCATGGACTGAAATAAATACTTGATAAAAAAAAGTTCAATAAGGAGAGAAAAAAAACTGGTAACAGCTCCCAGAGAGAAAAAGCTCAAATCACTGCGTTAAAGTGGACGGCGGAAGAAAATGAAGAGAGACGTTCTCATTCAACTACTTGTACATTATGATTCATATTACATTTATATGTATTTCTAAAATTGACTAACTATAGTTTTATCTCACTTATAAACATATGTTCAGACTATATATTGTCTCATGAAGTAAAAAAATTAACTGCCAATAACAACTAATTGATAACTAACATAACTATAATCAAATAAATTAACCTTTACTATCATCTGCAATAAAAACATAGATAATCTACCATGCCTGATCAGTTAAACCATGCAGCTGGTGCATGGTAAAATGATGGATATAAAAACAAGAGCAACATTAAAGAGCTCTTGTCAATTTCATGGTGCTTTCATCATTCACAGAAGAGCAATAGGAGCATCATATAGAAAGACAAAAGTAGAAATGAAGAGATTTTGTAATAAGACAGTTGAAAGGGTAGTAGTTTCTGATAGAAACAATGACAATAATTTACAGTTACCAGAACAATTAATTCACCACACCTCTAGTGGTCCCAGAGTTTGGAAAGTATATTCTAGAAGGGGTAAAAAGGGGAATTAGAGGATGAGTTAGTTACCAATCATGAGGTGGCATGAAGGAGGGGGCAGTACGTTTCCACAATATAAGGAACAGTCAGTAGAGGGAATAATCATCTGGATTGTAGCTAGATCTAGAAGGAATGGATAGGATACTCTAGGATCCTATAGGAGCATAGCTCTGGGCCCATTGTGGGATTGATTCATTCTGCTCTCTGTACTTGTTTCCATACTAATCAATAAAGCTCTTCCCATATTTCCATAACTGTTTCTTTTACTGCTATATTGATTTACTATTCTGTTAGTTCGTAACAAACTGGTCCGACCTACCGGATTGTCATTCCCGAAACCAGTGAATGCCCCCGAAAAAGGTTAAGATGGATGCGAAGGTAGCGGCGTTAGAAGGAGAGATGTCGGAGGTGAAGTCGACGTTGATAGACGTTCAGAATGCGGTGAAGACTAGCCATGAGAGTCTCATGGCCATGTTTGAACGGTGTCTAGGGAAGACGGTGCTGGAAGGAGAAGGTAGTGCAAATGGGAAGGGGAATTCCTCCGGATCGGGGCTTTACAACCTCAGTCGTGATGCATTGACAGAGTTTCGTCAATCCATCAAAAAGGTAGAGCTACCGTCCTTCAACGGCGAAGATCCTGCGGGGTGGATTTCACGAGCTGAAATGTATTTCCGTGTTCAGGGGACGCTACCGGAGTTGAAAGTGAATCTAGCTCAGTTATGTATGGAGGGAGCTACAATTCATTTCTTCAATTCTCTGGTCGGCGAAGATGAAGACTTGTCGTGGGAGAAGTTGAAGGAATCACTGTTGGCCAGATATGGTGGTTACGGCGACGGTGACGTGTATGAACAATTAACAGGGCTTAAACAGAGTGGAACGGTGGAAGAATATATCACCGAATTTGAATATCTCATGGCTCAGATTCCGAAATTGCCCGACAAGCAATTTTTGGGATATTTTCTTCATGGGTTGAAGGCGGAGATTAGAGGACGAGTTCGCAGCTTCGTAGCCATGGGGGAAATGAGTCGTACAAGGTTGTTACAGGTGACGCGTGCGGTAGAGAAAGAGGTCGATGGAGAAAATGGGTCGTCTAGTAGGAGAGGGGCCAGGTTTGGAAGCGGGTCACACCGACCCGGAACTCATGGAGCGGGTCGAAGAAATTCAGATTGGGTTTTAATAAAAAATAGAGAAGGTGGAGTGAATGGGGGGTTCTAAAAGCAATCCTATTGGGCCTAGAGATGAAAGAGCAGCCCATGGAGATAAGAGAAGGAATGGGCCTCGTGAACGTGGGTTTCAACATTTATCCTATCAGGAATTGATGGATAGAAAACAGAAGGGGCTTTGCTTCAAATGTAAGGGGCCTTTCTCTCCTACACATCAATGCCCCGATAAACACCTTCGGATCCTTCTTGTCGATGACACTGATACGGAGGAGATAGAGGGCCAAGTTCTGGCAATCGAAGTGAATGAGGCGGACGACGAAGAGGAGGGAGAGATGAGCCTGATGCATTTGGATCAGATGACTAATCACACTCCCCAAGTTATACGTTTCCAAGGAGAGATCAAAGGAGTTCCGGTGCTTGTGTTGGTAGATAGCGGGGCGACGCATAACTTCATTTCTCAGAAGTTGGTAAGCAAGATGGATTGGCCCATGGAGAAGACTTCACAGATGAGAATCAAGTTGGGTGATGGTTTTCAAACCATGACTCAAGGAGTTTGCAGAGAGGTGCAATTGAAGATCAGGAATTTTGGAATTCAAGCAGATATGCATCTGTTTGAATTAGGGGGAATTGATGTTGTGTTGGGAATAGAGTGGCTGAACACACTTGGAGATATGATTATGAATTGGAAGAAACAACTCATGAGCTTTTGGAGTAATAAGGAGTGGGTTACATTACAAGGCTTAGGGAGCAGCGATGAGTCCATGGTGGCTCTGCAGAGTATATTAGAAAAGCCCAAGCAGTGGAGAGAAAGGAAGTTAGGGAGTATAGAGAAACAGGGGAGTGGAGCACCAGAGGACCATTTGTCCCAACTGCAGAAGGAGAGGCTGGGTCAGTTATTACACGATTTTGCGTCGGTGTTCGTAGAGCCTAAGGGACTACCTCCAATCAGAGGCAAGGAACATGTTATTAATTTAGTGGAAGGGACAAATCCGGTGAATGTAAGGCCCTATAGATATCCTCACCATCATAAAGATGAAATTGAGAAGCAAATCAAAGAGATGTTGGCTACCGGAATAATCAGGAACAGCACAAGCTCTTTCTCTAGTCCGGTAATATTGGTGAAGAAGAAGGACAGTTCGTGGCGTATGTGCATAGATTATAGAGCACTAAACAGGGTAACCATTCCTGATAAATTTCCAATACCTGTTATAGAAGAGTTGTTAGATGAGTTGCATGGTGCTAGATTTTTTTCTAAATTGGATTTAAAATCTGGTTATCATCAAGTAAGGGTCAAGGAAGAAGATGTATACAAGACAGCATTTCGTACTCATGAGGGACACTATGAATTCCTCGTCATGCCATTTGGCCTTATGAATGCACCTTCCACATTCCAAAGCCTCATGAATGAAGTGTTTAAACCCATGCTTAGAAAATATGTGTTGGTTTTCTTCGACGACATCTTAGTATACAGCACTGATTGGGAGTCCCATTTGCAGCACTTGCAAATGGTGTTACAAGTGCTAGATGACAATGGGTTAGTTGCCAACAAGAAGAAGTGTCTCTTTGTTCAGAAATCCATTGACTATTTGGGGCATGTCATATCCCAAGAGGGAGTAGCTGTGGATCCTAATAAGATAGTCAGTGTGACCCAATGGCCTACACCTAAGAATGTGAAGGGAGTTAGAGGCTTCTTAGGACTGACTGGATATTACCGGAAATTTATCAAACACTATGGCAGGATAGCTAAGCCGTTAACAGAGTTGACAAAGAAAGATGGGTTTAAATGGGGAAATGAAACTCAGAGAGCTTTTGAAGAGTTGAAGGTGAAGCTCACTACAGCACCTGTCCTGGCTCTACCTGATTTTTGTAAACCATTCATAATTGAATGTGATGCTTCCGGTAGTGGTATAGGGGCAATTCTAA